ACGTTGTGTGATGTCTGCGTTGCTTCCCCTGTCGCGAGTTCTGATCGTTCAGTGATGATACTTATGTTTTGAATCTGGAATCAGCTTGCTAATCGATATCTTGTTGGTGCAGATCCGATAAGTAATAAGGGTATTTTTACAGAGTTAAAATACTCCAGTTAAAACTGAGTTTCCTGTCTTCTGTTTTTTTGTAGTGATTGTGACGGGGCACGTGGATGTTAAAAGGACCTTGGTGGTGTTTGTTGTCCTCGGTATGTTTATATTATATTGATTACTCCAAAGATAACCGTATTTTCCCGGAATACTTCGCGTTTTTTTTACCTGTCCTGCTGTATCTGCGACTATCCTCCGAAGCGACTTATTTATTGAATTTCGTCTGACTTTGCGTTCAAACTCGACGGCCATAGCATGGGCACAATATACGATGTGATAACTGAAAACTGCTGTATCACCGAAGAATAAAAAAAAAGTCACGTAACTTTCCAGGATGTTTCTTGGGATGATCGACAAAGCATGGGGCTTCAGGACGAACCATCCTGTCGGGATTCAGAAAAGGTCCTAATCGGAAGCTGATTCTGATGGAGAGTCTGAGCACAGCCCGGAGCAAGACATGCTGCTTCATCGAACCGGATGTTGGCGGGAAGTGTTTAACAGCGGACTGTATAGAATACAGTGAGAAATTTCCGAGTGGCTAAGCCTATTAGCAAGCTAGGCTAATTAGCGTATCAGTACTATGTGCCGTAGCTCATTGTGTGGATTATTTGTTTATTCAGCTCGTCAAGTCGGGCAGTTAATAACAGTGTGCCATGTTGTATTGTGTTTACAGTTTCCAATTCATTATACTTCAGGAAAGCTGATAATCTGTGGCTGGAGTTTCTTTGAAGTGGTTTAACTGGATAGATTGCTAGCTCGTCGACAGTGAGAGCTTCACAGCGACACAGAGGATGGCAAGACTTCAGTGATTAAATGCGACTTATCCACCGAAGCGACCTTATATAATGTTTTTTTCTCTTAACGCACGTTTTTTGACAAGAGTGATTTATACTACAGGTGCGACTTGGTAGTCCGGAAAAAAACTGTATGTTATCTTGGCAATTTCATGGTTAATTCTGCGATTCTGTAATATGTGTATATATTGATATATATATATATAGTATATCTATAACAGTGACGGTGAGGCAGTGATGTGCAACATGGAGTTAAAGGACATTGTGTGTTTTGTTGTCCTCAAATAAATGCAGATGACATAGGAGATGCTTCCGCTGTCCCATTCTTCACATACTCTATTGATAACGATGTCACCCTGCAGTTGTGACCCGTGTAAAACAGTTGGATGATCAAGCTATGGAGTGTTCTAGAGGAGATAGAGAGTGTTATTAGCGCAGAAGAGAAGTGCGAGAAGAGTGAGATTTGGGTTTTGTTATAGAGTATAGAGAGCTGCGAGATCATGAGAAGAGGGCTGATCAAGAGAGAGAGGAGGGCGATCAAGAGGAGAGAGATAGGCTGATGGAAGCAGTGAGAGGTGATCAACTGAAGAGAGAGAGCGCATCACAGACAAGAGACAGAAGGTTATCAAGACAAGATAGAAGGGTGATAGAAGAGTTGAAACGGTCATCATGAGAAGAGACGAGCGTACGATCTAGAGAAGAGATCGACAGAAGACAGAGATGGACGGTCAACAAAGAGGCAGTGTGGCATATTAATAGATGAGAGAGGTGAAGAAGATTGACACAGGGAGATCAAGAGAAGACAGATGGCCGATCAACAGAACTGAGAGAGCGATGTACCAGCTACTATATGGTACTGCATATATTATGAAATGCTTTCACTATGTGGTCAAACTATCAGCATGTGTGCCACAGAGGACAGCGTGAAGACGTCACCTGGAAGTTATGAGATTCTGCAGATGCTGCGTTGCGTGCATCGCAAATGCTTCAGCAGGAAACACGGTTGACTCATAACTTCAGCGAAGATGCTCGTCATGGATCCCAAAATTCAACATGTTTCGAAACGATGCCAGACATCACACATCTTTTACTATGTGTCATCAAATGCTGTTACCATGGCGCAGATCCAATGACCAACGAGTTAGTTCAAAGGTTGGCGACAAATATCTACTGCGTTCCAAGCCTTATTCATTACTTGTATCACTTAATCACATTTTGTACATTAACTACAGTGTTGTAGTCAAGTCACCAAATCACGAGTCCAAAGTCACTCTCGAGTCACCACTCATTTCGAGTCCGAGTCCAAGTTCGTTCACTCAGGGAGAGTAGTATCAAGTCGAGTCCAAGTCGAGTCACCCAAAGGAGTGAGTAGTCAGATCATCATTACCTGTCTTCGAGTCCGAGTCAAGTCCGAGTCACCTAAGAAGAGTCCAAGTAAAGTCCGAGTCACAAGTCTTCATTTATTCATCTTCGTGGATATATGTGTTGAAATGTTGCTGTTCCTCTACATTGCTTTTATCCTGTCATGTTATACTAATCTGTCTATTGAACTGCTGTGAAGCGAGTTTGGCTACAATTCTTGTAATAGGTGCTATACAAATATAAAGCTTATTACTAATATTAATATTATTATTATTATTATTATTATTGTAAATGACCTTTAATATGTCTAACTATGTTTAAAATGAGTTACCTTTTAGAGAAGTGATTACATTTGAATGCCAATATTTTCCTATGGTAAAGTTTTCGTTTTGCACTTTTATTTTGATAGTAATAAGATCGGGCCTCTTATTTTGAAGGAACTTTTACCGGTTAAATCGGTTTACTGATAAAGATTTAACCCCAGAAAGCACATGGCTACATAGCATGCAAAATGATGTCATTCTGCATGTTAAGTAGCCATGTGCTTTCGTGTTATCAGCTGAATCTTTATTTATTGATTAGATCACTTTACTCTCATGATAGTGTTCAAGACAGCCTATTTTTCTGAACTCGATCCTTAGAGTAATGTGTTACGGAGCCTTCTCTTCAATATTGTTTCCACATAACGAGCATTTTGCGCTGCTCTTTTCAAACGTGGAAGCAGAATGTGTGAAAGCATACAGCACGATGCGGGGTGTGTCTCTAGACTGGAATAGCGGGGCCCAGTACATGAACTCGCCTCACAGGTGCACACGCAAGGATAGAGGACATCAGACTCCAGAGAAAACTTGCTCGAGTCCAAGTCC